CAAGGCCTCTACAAGGCCTAAAAAAAAAAAAAAGGAGAAGGCGACGGCAGGGGATGAGATGGTTAGATAGCATCACTGAAGCAATGAGCGTGAAACTGAGGCAGGGAAGGACAGGAAGGCCTGGCGCGATGTGGTTCATGGGGTCACAAAGAGTCGGACACGACTTAACGACTGAACAACAACAAATACCTCTCCATACCTTTCTACCCTTGCAAATCATCCTTTCCTGCACCACATTCACACACCAACTCATACATTGTTTTTTGTTGTTTGAACTTCTCACCTCTTTCTTTCTGTGACTCTAATCAAGTCCATCCAACTATTGCTTTCTCAGTCTCCCCTTCCCCCCCCACTAACTCTTCCTTCGTATATTTGTTCTGCATTTTTTCAACCTTTGTTCCTCGTCACAGCTCATCTCCTATCCATTACCCTTCTGACAGCATTCATACATCTTAAAATTTATCCACCCATTTTCCCATCTTTACAAAACATTCTAACAAGTTCCACAAACTCATATACTTGCTCCAGTTTTTCACCATTTATAACTTACAATAATTAAACCCATTTTCCCTTTTAAAAACAATCACTTTGTGCTTTGATGCATTCATTTTCATATCCATACTCCTTGTTATATAAAACCATCTATCCAACACTCACTGCAAATTATTCTAGTCCTCAGCCAGCAACATGGCATTATCTGCATGAAAAAGTCAAGACCATTCACATCTCCAAGCAGTACACTTCTACTGTCATTGCAAGCATTCCTGTGCTTTTATCCCTAAATACACCAACCTCTGTTAAAACATAGGCCTGACAATTTTCATCCATGCACCCTCCAAGCTTCCTGATCATAATGCTTTCCATAGCAGAGACTGTTCTTGAAAGTATGGCCAAGGGAAGAGATGTTAGGAGTTACAGCTCATTAGTATCTACAGATGAGAGCCAGCTTGGCGTGGTGGTTAAAGGCACCAGGCTAGAAACCAGGAGACTGTGAGTTCTAGTCCTGCCTTGGGCAAAAAGCCAGCTGGGCAACCTTGGGCCAGTCCCTCTCTCTCAGCCCCAGGAAGGAGGCAATGGCAAACCATTTCCGGAATCTTGCCAAGAAAACTGCAGGGACTAGTCCAGGCAGTTGCCAGGAGTCAACATTGACTCGAAGGCACAAATAAATAAATAAAGTGTCTACAGGGCAATAAATTACCTACTACGGTTAAGGTGTTATAGTGCAGCCACAAACAGGAAGCAGACCTAACTGTATAATGAGAACAGGAACCCCCAACAAACAAATGTTTAACAATCTAACCAGTCAAATGTATGCCAGTCTTAGGGATGACAAAGGGAGTCTCAGATGATACACGTGCCTTTGAAAAGCATTCGAGTTACGTGGGCTTCTGCTTTTCATAATTGCTCCTCAAAGACCTTTTACCTGAAGATTACTTTTCTCTTTCCACCCACAAAAAGGCAAGTAAATACTACTTGAAGGGAAAACACAGCCCTTAAAAATAATGGCCCAGCCCTCACTTCAAACAAAAGTGATTGACACACACACACACACACACACTGCATACACACTTGATCCTGGTCACATTTATTTCTAGCCTGGAATATCTGCAGGGGAGGTTACAGTGGAAAAATATCCTAGAGCTCTTGAAAAAAAAGAAAGAAAACCCTTTTACTTGTAAACCCGAGCTACCATCAGTTCACATATACCCTTTCCTACAAAACTGTTCCTATGAAAGCAAAATAAATCATGGTCAGACATTGCAAAGGAAGAATAAAAGGTATTGTATATGTTTCCAACTTGATGCAGATATCTGCTCTTAGCCTCAGTATAACACTAGCCTAATTCATATGCAAAACAAGGTTGTCATGTAGCTTGCTTGCTTTAGTGCTATGTATAATGTGTGAACTCACCCATACAATCTAACTACCACTTCTGTCCATTCTGGCTCCTGATAGTCCTCCAAACAGCTTCAGCATAACCATTGGCATCAGCAAGGGATGGGCAAGGGATCACCCGTACATATCATTGGCATCGTATAATTGGGGCATGTACTGGATGCTTTGGGGCAGCCCCTAAGCACACGTAACAGCTTGTGTGCTTATAAAAGAAGACAAGAATCATAGGTCCCCCTTGCAGTCCAACCAGACCCCACTAAACATTTGGAAAGCCGAATTTGAGCAAAGCCCGCAAAAAGACAGAAACACAAACGAGGCACCAGTGGTGCTTTGAAAAGAATACCCATTAATCTTATAATGTCACAATTTTATTTAGCGTTCTGCCTGGTAAGGCAGCTTGATTATGTAATGATTAAGGCAGTGTTTCTCAACCTTGGGAACTTTAAGATGTGTGGACTTCAACTCCCAGAATTCCCCA